TCTTGTTGATGGACACGTCATCACTTTTAGCGTAGTACTCGGATCTGGTTCAACTCCGTGCTTTGCCCTCTGCCTCCCTCGCTGCGTCCCTCCCTTTCTCCCTCTCTCCCTCCCTTCTTCCCTACCTGCATCCCCTCCATCCCCGCGATGCCCACGCCGACGTGCGCCTCCTGTATCATCGGCACGTCGTTCGCGCCGTCTCCTGCATTTATTCCGCGGCGATATCAGTGTATGCACATCCGATTACAAAGGAAGAGCGGAAACAGGGAGGCCAGATCTTCCCTTCACTTTGCCCTCCCCCCTCCTCTCGCCCTCCTTCCCTCACTCCCTCTCTCTCTTCTGCCTTACCAATGGAGAGGGCCCGACAGGCCGGCTCGTTGTTCTTGACCAGGTGGACGATGGAGCGTTTTTGGTCCGGGGAGACGCGGCAAGCCACCACCGACTTGCATATCTGGGCGTTGGGGTGAGAGAAAGAAGGGGGAAGGAGGACGGGAAGGGCGCCATGCACGGTGAGGCAGGATGTGGGAGTGGAGGCTTGCCACGGATCGACCTGATCGCATTGTCGACCCCAGGCAGCCCCCTGGGGGCAGGCCTCCGTGATCTCGCCGGCCACCCGGCCCGCGCGGGACAACCACCCCGCCCTCCCTCCCGCCCTCCATCCCGCCCCGCCCTCGCGTGGGCCTTACCCTGGTCAGCTTCAAAAGGCGCCGACGGACGCCCTCCTTAGAGGCCAGCATGAGGGTGGGGCCGTCAATGACGAGCGCCCGAGGCTTGCAGTTGTCTTGGTGCTTCTCGAAATCGTCCTGGTGGAGGGAACGTGGGCCCGGCGAGGGAGGGGAGGGGCAGGAAAGAGGAAGAGTGGGGGGTTAATGGGGAGGAAAAGTGGGGTGGACGGCTCGGTTTTGGGAGGGAGGGCGGGAGGCCGGGAGGGAGGCGAGAGGGAAGGAGGGAGAGACGGCATTACCTTGAATTTTTGCAGCTCGTACTTAAGCAGGTACTGGACATGGTGCTCGTTTTGACATTTCTCTGAGTTGATAGAGATGCGGCGCATCTTAGGTAGGCGAAGAGACGGGACAGGCGTCAGCGGATAAGTGCCAAAATGAGTGCAGAAATGACAGGCAAAAGAGGAAAGGACGATAACACAGAGCCACAACGTATATTGACCTTCACCCCTCGCAGGAACAGGATCCCCGCCACGAACGGAAAGAAGTATGGGGGTCAGACAAGACACGAGCACGGCTGAGAAATCGTTACCTTCGTGGAATGTTCGAGAAGGTTGCAAGCCACACCGATGTTGACGGCCGTTTCCTCTTTGTCGCCCGTGAGCATCCACACCTGGGAGGGTGGGGGAACGGGAGGAAAGCAGGCAGGAGGGCGATGTGGAAAGCAAACGAGATCCAAATTAGGAATTCTCCAAAGGAAAGCAGCCAAGTTCCTTTTCATGGACGGAAACCAAAAACTGGAGGGGGAAAAATCCTGGCGCGGCGGCGATACTGCCAAAGAAAACTTCCCAATCAGTAATGATCCAGACAAGAAAGGAAACATCCACGACCAAGGCGCCACCAAGAGAGGCGGGACATGGGCGGGCGATACGGTCACGATGAAAACTCCACCTCCCAGCGAAAGGAGAACAAGAGAGGGAGGAAGATGACGGCGAGAGGGCTCAGGGGCTCGCTTGGGGCCCTGCGTGGACGTGTCCTCCACAAGCCAGCTTGCACACTCTTGGCTATGAAAAACATTGTAGGCCCCGGTCATGGCGGAAACAAGGATGGATAAAATATTCACCTTGATGCCTGCGCGTGTCAGGTCGTGGATCGTCTCCGGGACGCCCTCCTGTAGGGTGCCAGGGAACTGTATTAGAAAGCCCCCTTCCAATGCTATTCCCACTCCCTCCCTCCCCCCTTCCTCCTCCCTCCCGCCTTCTCTACCTGAAGTTTGTCTTCGATGGCAGTCGCTCCCAGCAGTTCAAAGTTGCTCTCGATTTTGTCCATGCAGGCGTCGATATCATTGTCCTAGGCGGGAATGAAAGAGGGAAGGAGGAGGGGAGGGAGGGAGGAAAGGAGGGAGGGAAACGGAAGACTTGAATACCAGGAAGGGACCAGGACTCGATGTCGTCGTGAGGTGACGCAGTAAAACAAGAGAGACTTGGCAAAAACAATCCGATCGGCGCATGCCATGCCAAAGGGAAAGGGAAAAGGAGGGGTGGGGCGTGCGCCAATGTCTTTGTCGCGTCCTGGCCTGAGCCCGTGGCGCCGCATTCCCCCCCGCCTTCCGGAGCACGCGGGAGAACTGGCCGCCAGGAGCTCCGGAGAGAGCAAGAGACAGTACTCACCTTGCCGGACTTTCGGAGCTCGATTTGGGCGAGGTCCTTGGCCGCGCGCTCGAAATCCAGGTACCATCTGAAGGGAAGTGTTCGGGGAGGGGGTAAAAGGGGACAAGGGAGGCAAGTGAGAGGGACGGACGTGGGACAAGGGAAGGAAGAGGTAGCATGCGGGGTGCACTCAACTCTTATGGCCCCTTCCTCCCTCCCTCCCTCCCTCCCTTCCTCCCTCCCTCC